TAGTGTGTGTGTGTGTGTGTGTGTGTGTGTGTGTGTGTGTGTGTGTGTGTATAAATCTGACAGTTAAATACACACACCAGTTTTTTTTTTACCATGCGTTTCTTCAGTTTTCAGTTAAAATAACAACAACAACAAAACAGTGACTAACCTTCCGTAACTGTTGTTCTTTGAGATGTGTTGCTCATGTCCATTCCAATGTAGGTATGTGCTTCCCCGGGCACCGCCACCAGAAAGTTTTTCCCTCAGTGATAACCATCAGGTCAGCTCTGGTGCCCCCTGGACTCGTGCATTCACAGCGCTGGTATAAAGGGTCCCGCTGAGCCATAGGTCCCTCAGTTCCTTTTTTCTGGCTAACTCCGACAGAGGGGTAGGAGGAAGAGTTTTGGAATGGACATGAGCAACACATTTCAAAGAACAACAGTTATGGAAGGTTAATAACCCCCTTTTCTTCGAGTGCTTGCTCATGTTCATTCCAATGTAGGTGACTCCCAAGCAGTTGTGCAGATGGGGTTCAGAGTTTACTGGCATGCTGATTATAGCACTACTCGGCCAAATCCAGCATCATCACTAGCCTGTTGGGTGATGGCATAGTGAGACGCAAAAGTGTGAACGGACGACCACGTTGCCACTCTACAAGTGTCATGGATAGTAACTTGTGTCACGAATGCTTCCAAAGATGCTTTGACCCTTGTGGAATGTGCCGTCAGGGCTGGGATCTTTGCCAGGTCGTTGCATGTGCACATACAGGAAGTGAACCATGATGAAATTCTTTTGGCTGAGACTGGAAGACCTTTCATCCTGTCTGCAATGGCCATGAATAGTTGAGTGGGTTTCTGACATGATTTAGTTCTTTCTATGAATAAGGCTAATGCACGTCTGATGTCCAGCCCGTGGGGCCTCTGTTCCTGTCTGTTGGCACGTGGTTTCAGATAGAAGACCAGTTGGAAGATATCCTGGTTACTATGGAATTGTGAAACCACCTTTGGAAAGAAAGCCAGATGTGGATGCAATTGGACCTTGTCCTTGAAGAATATTGTGTAAGGTGGTTCTGAAATGAGGGCCTGAATCCCCAAGACCCTTTTGGCAGAAGTAATGGCTACCAAGAAGGTCACCTTCCAGGACAGGTAGAGCAGAGAGTACATTGCCAGCAGCTCACATGGGGATCCTGTCAGTCTTGACAATTCCAAGTTGAGATCTCACAGAGGGACTGTTTGCCGTACCCGGGGGTACAATATCTCACAGCCCTTAAGAAACCAACTACAGATGGAGTTTGAGAATACAGAACAGCCATTATGGGTGAAAAGCTGAGATTGCAGCCAAATGGACCCTAATAGATGACACAGTTAGCCCTTGTTTCAGGTGGAGTAAGTAATCTAGAATGAATGGCACTGTTGATTGCATAGGTCAGACACCCTTCTGCATATACCTGATCAAGAACCTTTTCCACTTTGCCAGGCAAGTGACTCTAGTGGATGGTTTTCCAGAAGTACCTCACAAACCGGCCCGAGCATGCTAGCTCTGAGGGGTTCAGCCATGGAGCTTCCAGGCCAAGAGACGAGGGACTCGAGATTCGGGTGACAGAGGCAGCCGTGGTCCTGGAAGATTAGGTCTAGAAACAGAGGTAGACGGATTGGTGTTTCCACTGAAAGGTCTAGGAGCAAGGTAAACCAATGCTGGTGAGGCCAGGCAGGGGTTATCAGGATGACTCCCGCTTTGTCCCTTCTGATCCTCATCAAGGCCTTGTGCATGAGAGGAATAGGAGGAAATGTGTAAAAGAGATGACCTGTCCAAGGGAGGAGGAAGCGTCTGCAAGAGACCTGGAGCTGTGACCCAGAAAGGAGTAGAATTGGAGACATTTCCTGTTGTGTTTCGTCACAAACAGATCTGGGGAGCTCCCCACTTCTGGAAAGTGACTTTCACAACATCTGGACGAATGGACCATTCGTGGTGGTTGGAAAAGTAGCTATTAAAGTGATCTGCTAGCTCATTCTGTGATTCTGACAGATCAGAGGCCCCAAGGTGGATTGAGTGGGCTATGCAGAAGTGCTTCCTGGCACAGGTGAAAGGAGTGTGCTCCTCTCTGCCTGTTGATATAAAACATCGCTGTTGTGTTGTCTTTGAGAACTGACACACACTTGCCCGCCACATGGGGCTGGAATGCCTGGTAGGCCAGGCAAACTGCCCTGAGCTCCCTGACGTTGATATGTAGCAAGAGCTCTTCTGAAGACCAGAGGCCCGGAGTTTTGAGGGATCCCAAGTGAGTAACCCAGCCGGATGCTGAGCTATCTGTGACAAGAAACACTGATCGTTGGGGTCTTGAAAATGGGACTTCTGCACACACTGCCAGTGGGTCTAGCCACCAATGGAGGGAAGCAATCACAGATGAAGGAACTGCGATGACTGCATCTAAATGGTGTCAGCTCCGTGAGTATACAGATGCCAGCCACGCCTGGAGAGACCTGAGCCGAAGTCTCGCATGCTGCATCACTTAGGTGCATGATGCCATGTGGCCCAGGAGCTTCAAGCAGTTTCTGGCTGTGGTGGTGGGGTGATTTCTAAGGCTCTCTATAAGCAACCCTATTGCTTGAAATCATGCTTCTGGGAGGAAGGCTCTGGCTTGGACCGACCTGAGGATCGTCCCGATAAACTCTATGTTTTGAAATGGGGAGAGAGTAAACTTCTGCACATTTATTAGCAGACTTAAGTCCTGGATTGTTGACTGTATTAACTTTACATTGGGCTCCACTTGGATCTTGGTATGAACCTGTGACCAGCCAGTCATCGTGGAAAGGGTAGACCTGGACACCCTGTCTCCTCAGGAAAGCTGAAAAAACTGCCATGCACTTTGTGAACACCCAAGGTGCCCCTGATAGGCCGTATGGGAGCACCGGTACTGGTAGTGCACGAGATTCAATCTTCTGTGTCTCTGAAAGAGACTGAGATATGGAAGTAGGTGTCCTTCAAATCGAGGGCAGTGTATCAGTCCCCAGGATCCAGGAAGGGGATGATGCAAGCCAAAGAGACCACGTGAAACTTTAGTTTCTTCATGAATAAGTTGAGTTTTCACAGGTCCAGAATTGGTCTGAGACTAACTTTTGACATTAGGAAATAAGGGGCCGGGGATTCTATTTCCGTTAATTCCAGTGGAACCTCTTCCACGGCTCCCACCCTTACGAGCGACTGCACCTCTTGGGCTAGAAGTTCCTTGTGAGAAGGCTCCCTGAAGAGGGACGGGGGGTGGGGGCACACAACTGAACTGAAGAGTGTATTCCAGTGCTATCATGCGTAGCACCCAGCAATCTGAGGCAATACAGGCCCATGCCCGACAAAAATGGGATAAACAGTCCACAAAAACTGGGGAAGTTGGATCCAAGTTCTGTCCTGATATGTCTTCCCCACGCATCCCATCAAAAGGTCTGCTTAGATGCCACAGAGTGTTTGCAGGGGGCAAGTGCGGAAGAGGATTGCAGCGGAGGTCTTCTCCTCAAGCCCCTGCTCTTCCTCCTATTGTGGTCTTGCCGGGCAGATGGCGGGAAGAATCGACTGGCCAGCTGAGGCTTATAATGTTTCCTTGCAGGTGCCAGTGTATAAAGCCTTAGGGACTTCAGGGTGGCCCTCGAGTCCTTAGGCTATGCAGCTTGGAGTCTGTCTGCTCAGAAAAGTGATATACCCTCAAAAGGAAGGTCCTGCAATGTCTGTTGAACCTCATAAGTAGGCCCAAGGATTGAAGCCAAGAGCTTCGAAGCATTGCCACCGCTGAGGCCATGGATCAGGCTGCAGAGTCCGCTGCATCTACAGCTGCCTGCAGGGACACCTTTGCCATAGATTTGCCTGCAAATTCTCGCCTGGACTCCTGTGACATTACTCCTTAAATTTCAGCATGAGTCCCAGGAGTTAAAATCATACCTGCTCAGGAGCGCTTGCTGATTTGTGATCCTGAGCTGGAGGCCATCTGTTGAATAGACCTTTTTGCTGAAGAGGTCTAATTTTTTTGGTGTCCTTGGCCTTGGGGGTTGACCCCTGCTGATTGTCGTTTCCGCTCATTGGCTGCTGATAAACCAAAGAGCCCAGTGGTGGGTGTGTATAAAGGAATTTATACCCATTAGCCAGGACAAAGTATTTCTTTTCAGTTTTCTTTGCCATCAGCTGAAGGGATGCTGTGGTCCTCCACAATGCCTTGATGGGTCCTTAATAGCATTGTTCAGGGGCAATGCCACTCTTGAAGGGCCTGTTGCTGCTAGAATGTTTACCAGGGCATGGGAGGACTCCCTGATCTCCTCTACCTGGATCCTCAGGTTTTGAGCCACTATTTTGAGGAGCTCCTGATGAGTCTTGTAGTCGACTTGGAAGGGCACTACGTCTGCTCCCACGACAGCCTCATTTGGAAAGGAGGAGGACGCCTGTACACATAGAGGACACTGTTCTTCGCCCTTGGCACAAAATGTGTCTCGCGGTGCTGGGTCTTGATATTCAGCACCAGTCTCTGTACCAGAGCCTGGATTTTGCTCAAAGTGGAGCACTGGAGGCGCTCTGGACTTTGACGCCACGGAGTATGACCTTCTGGAATGTGACCCTTGCATCAGAGAGAAAGCCGAGGGTTTCCAGAAAAGACACTGTCCTGGCATCTGCCACTGTCCCTGTGGCCAAGCCGTGGTTGGGATGCCTTGACTCAGGTCTATGGCCGGACAGTGCCAGCTGTAGTGACAGTCAGCTCCTGAGAGAAACATATGACTCCGCCTCCAAGTCTGTCCCTGAAGATTCCCTTCCCAGAGACCAAGTTGGAACAGTGCCGACCAAGGGAGGTGACGGGGGCTGGGCAATCATGGCCAGATTCCCTTTTGAAGGCACCTGAGACCTCAGTTCTGTGGAGGTCCTTCCCGCTGGTGCCACCACTGACAGTTCCCATATGGCTGGGGATGGCAGTACCAGTAGAGAGAGTAAATCTCTCGCTGCTGCAAATGCCTCTGGAGTTGACAGTACCGCCAGGGCAGTGGAACTCTGGTGTTTCTCTTGCGGTGGAGAGTCGATCAATACCAGACTCAACGGTACCCATTCCAGGGCCTGAGTCAATGGCGCCGCAAGGAACCACAGAGTGGCCTGACGTGGGTCAGACTGTATTAGTATGTCTCTGCCCCACCAACCTCAGGGTTGGGGAACGACATCTATCAGTCTTTTTCTGCTTCTTTCCCAGCACCGGTGATGGAGAGTGGTGCCGAGGTTCCCTCGCCGGAGCACTTTTCTTCAGCACTGGGGATGGTGGACTGTGTCAAGTCTCTCAAGAAGCAGGAGTGTCTTTCCTCAGTGCCAGTGATGCGGAATGGTGCTGAGTCTCCTACAGAGTAGCAGGGGATTCTCCTTACTGAGGCTGAAGTACTCGGTGCCGACTCTGAGTGACCCGGCTCCAAGGGAGGTCGTAGTGCTGCCTCCATGAGGATAAATCTGAACCTAGTGTGTCTATCTTTTTTGGTGTGGGGCCTGAAGTCTTTGCAGATCTTACAGCACTCCCGTACATGAGCTTCCCCCAGGCATTTAAGGCAGCTGGAATGGGGGTCATTCACAGGCATAGGCTTGTGGCAAGAAGCACAAGGCTTAAACCTCAGAGACCGAGACATACCCTGGTGCCGGGAAGGGATTAACCCCACTGAATGGGGTTCCGCTAACCTAATTATTTATCTAAAATCTGAAATTTAACTATTAAGAATAAAGATAACAATATACAATGAGGTTAGAAAGTCCAGTGAGGGAGTACTTCCAGAGTGCAAGGACGAGGCAATTCCAGCAACTATCACGGGTGGTAAGAAGGAAATGAGGGGACTGCAGGTCGGCGGGACCCTTTATAACGCTATGAGCATGTGACTCCAGGGGGCACCAGAGCCGACCCAATGGATACCACTGGAGGGAAAAGCTTTCCGGAGGCGGTGCTCAGGGCAACCACATACCTACATTGGCATGGACATGAGCAAGAACTCAAAGAAGAAACATAAATTTAATTGAATGTACAGTGTTGCCAAACACTGCAGAAGGTTATTTTTAATCCAATACCCCTTAATAGTGATTTTAATGGCAATGCTTTATAGTTTGGGATTTATTATAAAAGATAACTAAAAAATAAAACCCATTCATATAATACAATATGAGTTAAGTCATGCTACCAGTTCTGTTTTTATCTATAAATTAAGTAAGCCTCCTCTTCAGCATCTTTAAATCTGGCCCAACATTTCTGAATAAATCAAGTCTGTCTTTTGCCAAAATTCAATTAGGAATAAAGCTATTACAGCAATAAAATGACAGCTGCATCGATAATCTATGCATTTAAACAAACACTCAATTCTCATTTGTTATCACTGCGTCTTATAACAATAACTACAGCATTTCATCATTAGGCAGATTAGAATTATTTGTTTCAGTTTTTTCATGTTGTTTCAGTAATATATTTAATATTACAATCAGTATAATTTGTCTATAAAAAAGGGCTAGTAAACAATGTGTTTAACAGAGGTTTATTAAGTTTGGCGGTTGCAAAATAAAACAAATATTGACAAAATAATTCTGTCAAAAGGAAATATTTACCTTTATTAAAAGTTAAATCTCTACTAGGATTATATTAGAAATATAAGTATAAAATATGATCATCATGTATTCCTTACCCTTTGCTCCAGAGCTGTCTGTGTCTGTTGTCTTAATAGAGCTTTAAACGGTCCCCCTTCTTTTCCAGCACTTCCACTGCCCATTCCTAAAGAATATCAGCACATAAATAACATCCAGAGAAACAAGTTACAGACTGTATTTATTAGTCTCCGATTTTTTTTAAAACCTATGATACAAATTATAGTTAGAAACTTTTGAAAGTTTATTTTTACCAATCAGGCACACTGAAGACTAAGGATCTTATTCACATTTATACTATATTTCCCTTTAGTGCAAATGTAAAGAGGCATTAGGGTGAACATAAATTGCACTTTAAGTCCCTTTATAGTGTCAGAGTGGTGTACAGGACCTTAGTGTAAATAAGAATAAGGGCCTAGGGGCCTGAACTTGCAGCTCTTAGTTCTACAGTATGGCTTGATCTTTTTCCCATGGATGCAAGAGTGTTTTTGCTATCAGTTTCAATAGGCACAGGATCAACTCCGTAATCCTTATTTTCACAAGCAGTTACAGTCAAAGTTTCAATTCACATCAGTGAGTATTGCAGGATCAGTCCTAATTCAAAAGTGCTAAACTAGAAGTAATCTTACTAGTGCAATTGGCCAAGATTTCTGCTAAAAAGGCAACTATGGACCTGTGTCCAAGAATTATTTACAGTAGCAGTTAAAAAAAGATTCCATGTCGTGAGGTTCATAGAGTTTCAGAGTAGCTCAATCATTTTTCCTCATGAGTTGGGGCTCAAACCTTCAGTTTCCACATGTACACAACTCCTACTGAAGTCACTATAAGATTTGGCCCAAAGAGAAAACTGTAAGGGCAAGCATAACACAAATGTTTATCTTTCAATTTAAATTTTAACTCTGAAAATGATACTGTAACTTAGAATTGAAGGACAGTCTAATTTAACATTTATGTAGAGTACATTCACTCATCTGAATCATTCAGATCAGCCATGGACTACTGTTGAGCATTCTAAACTACCAAATGTATCTGTGATTTGCTTGCTAAAAGACATTTGTTGCTTCACAGTTACTAAATCCAGGAATAAAACATATACCAAGGCTGTGTTTTTCCTACAAATAATCATAATTTTGGTGAATCGGATTCACTTTGGTGGCATTTCATACCTAAGAACATACTTCACTGATATTTCTTATAGTCAGATCTGTCTATGTGCCTCAGAACTAAATTGATACTTATTTGGTTTCAGTGTATCAGCAATTATACCTTTCAATACTCTCAGAGATATCAATGAAAACACTAATAAAAATGAAGAACAAAACTAAAAAAAAGCATCAGGAACAAGGTGAATGAAGTTATGATTGAAGGGAATATTTTTAAAGTTATCCTAACTGCTATTTTAAAACAGACAATACATTGCTACTTTCCCTGTCTCCTTTCTTCTGCTAAAAAATCCAGTAACAATAAAGAAGGAAAGAGATTTTTCCATGTAAATGTGTGAGGACTTTTTGTTTTAAACAAACTTAAGGACTGTTGTTGTTGGCACTTCATTTATTCACTCATTTCAAAACTGACAAATGCTATCATGTCTAAAATGTTATTTATATACAGGAAATGAAATATTTTTAGCTGTTCTTGGATAAGGAAACAAAGATTAGCATCTGTATAGTCCCATTAATAAAATTAAGTTATTTTATGTTATTTTGCATTAGACCCAAATAGCATTTACAAGGGACTATACAATACTAAAAACAGACTGACATGAAATGAAGAGTATTTGTTGAGATGAAACACATTCTTAAAAAAAAAAAACACACACACACACAAAATAATCAAAGCACTATCTGTAGAAAAGAAGCAGTGATTTCTAGTATTTAATTTAACAGGACAATCTAGTGATCTCTGTCAATGAAACGTAAAAAGGAGGAAGTACAAATACAAAGATTGTATACAGTCAGAATGAAACAAACCAATTTAAACAGTACAATAAATATGGTTGCTAGCCACATGATGGTCAGATTTCAACAGAAGAATATGAATGAGTTGGTAAGGAAGATGGAGTGCTTGTTCCATCTAAAATACAGGAACATTATTATAATGAAGAGAATGAAAAGAATATCAGTATTCAGTAGTTGTCTAATGGTAGTAAGTCCAATTAGCAATATTTAGTGGAGATGTTTTTGGAAAAGGAAAAAGTTCTGCAATATAAGGTAGGTTATTTGTTTCAAATATTGATCAATTTAAGGAAGAGGCTCTAGAAATTATTGCAAGCCTCCAGGTGGAAAAAAATTATCCTGTAATAGTCATGTAGCCAGCAGTTTTCAGAGGCTATTTTAACTAAAAGGTATAGAAGGCTAGGTATTAAATGCCCCTTAACTGACTAACAACAACATTCCATTTATTTCTTAAAAGGCATTTTTAAAAAGGTGATTATAGATTGATCCTACCAGCCAGAAGCAGCTCTTCAGTGAAAGAGACACTTTTCCTCAGAACAAATGGGCTGACATGGCTAGAGTGAAGAGGGTTAAGGCTAGACCCCGGGAGGAGGAGACAGGACTTGTTAAGCTGTGGGGAACCACAAGACAGAGTAGGGGAGCTAGGAAACAGGAAAATCCTAGGCCCCTGTGGGGAAGGTGCTGTGGAGGAAAGTAGTAGAGAGAAAAGATGTAGATTCACAAGATGACTAAAGAAATAGGAGGAGGAAAGCAAAATGAAGCAAAAACAAAACAGACTTTTTTTTCAAATGAACAGATATATACTGCTAGCATATGAAAAGGCTATTACCAGCATACAAAGAAATGAAATGACAACTTAGCACCACAGTGTGGATTAGAAGCACGTTATCAAAAATCTGAGTATGAACTTGTTAACTTTGTTTTAAAATGTATTTAGTTTTATTAAAGAGCCAAAGTAACTGAATATTTATTTCATATTTCAATTACATTTTACACAAAGATTTAAAGTGAATACTTCTAAATAAAATCTATTCAAAACAGCCCTTCTAACATGCCTAAGGAAAATTGATATGGTAACAGGTTCTCTTCTCCAAAAGTTCTATGAATTTAAGTTGACCATTATCCAGAATCCTAAAAATTTAATTTTTAAAGTCTTAAATCTTATAATAGTGTGTGTGTATATATACATATTTACTTATATCCCACATAAAAAAGGAGTGCCCGTCTTCTCAATTTCCTCCACGTATATATTAATTCTTCTCTCTCTCCTAACCCAAACTTATTAAAATATATACTATATGTTACATATGTAATATGTAACTACTTTTGTCAGTCAGGTACTTCTGTTAGTTTAAAATTACATGAACAGTAGAACTACTCACAGCAGGAAGTCTCCAATTCCAAACCAGAATTAACTGTCTCAGTGCATTTTGAAAGTCCTCCTATCACCTTTTACTACAGAGAATTTGACACAGCCCATTCTACACTGTATCATCACATTCTACTTTATAAAAGAAATGGTGGTAATAATCTTTCTTCCAACAGTTCCAACCCAGAAGACTAATAAGCAAATCCAAGTTTCCCTCTCTTTATATCATGGTATAAATACCTAAATGTTGTGGTATATGTGCTTCTTATGAAAGTTAAACAAAGTCTCAATTTGAAGTCAAGATATTGACATTGCTTCCTCAGTCATACTCTATTCCTCTTCCTTGCTCAGACAACTTAAAAAAAAATCCCAATTTTCCCTTCTTCAGAATTTCAGATCTTTTTATATGTGCCAAACCATTAATCAGATCATCGTCACGCACTAGAATAAAGAGCTTTGACACTAAGACACCCTCTAAGCAAAACTCTCCAAAAAATTGAGAGACAAGGCCAAACATAACTTTACCAGAATAATGTGTAAGAACAGGTTTCATTAAGTAAAACTACAGCCACATCATCTCAGCCATACTACACTTACTTCAGGAAAGAGTGATCAAACTTATTTTATAAAGCAGTAAAAGAAAAACTAAACCAAGTTAGTCTAAGTCTCAATTTGTTTAAAAAAAAAATAGTATCCTTTATAGGGACAAAGCTTTAATCAGGGTTGATGAGCCAAGAATCCTGTAACAGTTCGTGTCCTAACTATGGGTTGTATTGAGTTGTTAATTTAGATTATAGAACCTTGAGAAAATGCTAGTGCCATCCTTGAAAACAGTGCTCTTTTTTATTTTAAAACACCACAAACATGTTTGGTAAAGTCTGTTTAGAACTGCCACCTGCACGAAGAAAATATTTAACACAATTTATATCATTCAATAGTATTCCCTCTCCTTCTGTTGATGACTAATTCTTATCAAAATTAAGGATATTTTATAGTTATATCCCTGAATTAATTCTAACTATAAAGTGATTATTATTCTTTCCTCCCAGAACAATTATAGTTGAAGAGTCACAAAAGTCAAAGTGAAACATGACTCAAACATATTATATATTATGTTGTTAAGTGATTATTTTTTCAAAATTCAGCGTGTATGTATAATTTTTAGACATAACAAGCAAGCCTTCTGATTGGGACACATTTTGGCAACAGAGAGCTGACCATATTGCCAAAAGATAGCAGCTACATGATACTGCCCTAGCAAATAAAAGAATGACTGGGGTCACCAAATGAAATTAATAGGCACCAGGTTTAAAACAAACAAAAGGAAGTACATTTTCACACAACGCACAATCAGTCTGTGGAACTCTTTGCCAGAGGATGTTGTGAAGGCCAACAGGGTTCAAAAAAGAACTAGATAGGTTCATGGAGGATAGGTCCATCAATGGCTATTAGCCAGGATGGGCAGGGACGGTGTCTCTAGCCTCTGTTTGCCAAAAGCTGAGAATGGGTGACACGGGATGCATCACTTGATGATTACCTGTTCTGTTCATTCCCTGGCATTGCCCACTGTCGGAAGACAGGATACTGGGCTAGATGGACATTTGGTCTGACCCAGTATGGCTGTTCTTATGACTGCTATTATCTTAAATTTGAAAACAAAAAATTGAAGCTGATGAAGATGGCCCAGCTTCCTCGACATACTAGAAAATTCCTCACCACAAAGGCCCCTATCTTTCAATCTGATCTACACAGATGCACTTGTGTCCACACAGAGTCCATTGGTTTCAGTGGGGCTCAGTGTAGGTGCAAACAGTCCATCCATCCAGATCATGTTGCAGGATCAGAATCTAATGCAGCTACTGCAGAAATGTCTTAATTTCACTGCAGACTACTATCACCCTCCTGTGCCTTTGGGATGTCTACTAAGATGGCCACCTATCCTGGAACTTAATCAGATAACATGTATGTTTTCAAACAATCATCAGGAATTTAATAATACAAATGTATGAATTTGTGGGGTGATGTCTCTTAAAAATAAATATTGGCCTGTTTGTTTTTAAAATACACTTGCTCTCAGTTTCTTTAGAACATAAATGGTCACCCTAGGTTGTCCACAAGACATAGTCACTATTTACACAAAAGATAAGAAAGAAAGAAAGAAAGAAAGAAAGAAAGAAAGAAAGAAAGAAAGAAAG